CCCCCCCCAGTTTCACTTTCTGCACTCTCATGACCATTTCCTTTATTTTATTTTATTTTATTTTTTGCCCTTCCCACGATCCCGGCTCTCACCCAGCCCAGCTCCCATCCCCCTGAATCCCCAGCCCGGCGTATCCCCTCGGTTCTCCCGTGGCAATGTTCGCCCCGCCGGGGTTTGGGGCTCAGCGAACCCTCCCCCGGCTCCCTGCCGTGCCTCAGTTTCCCCGCACGGCACCACGGAAGGCGCTGAACGCGGAGCGGGGACAGCTCTGACCCTTTCTGGGCCCCTGTGCCCTCCCCCAGCGCCTTCCTCTGCTTCCCGTGAGTTCCAACTCCCTCACAGCTCCCAAAGCGCTCATTTCTTAGAGGGAAAAGGAAGAAAAACGTGCCCAACTGTCGGAATCTGAGGTATTGATGATTCCAAGACTGTAAAAGTCTCTGTCTGTCAGCCCCGCTGCCAAAGCAGAAGCCATAATTGGTCTGTGCTGTTTCTAGGTTGTTTATTCTGTTTATCTCTAACATGTTCTGCTGCCCTGCCGCAGCTCTGTCCTGCAGGGCAGCGTGTGGGGCTCTGCCCTCAGTGGGATGGTACAAACATTAAATACCACAAACTACCTGTGCTGGATTTACAATAACGTGCCAATATCTGTCACCTACGTTGGACAGTGTGTCCCCAGCCTAAACCAACAGAAAAATGCCAACACCGCAGTGAAACATGGAGGGCATGAAGAAGGAGAAAAAGGACAAGACACACCCAATTTCCTCCATCTTGTCCCCTTTGAACCCCTAATCTAGAAACCTAAAATTTTACTTTTGCACCCGTGCCACACTTAATTATTACTGATATCAAACACTCAGAGCTGGTAATTCATCCTGTAAGATTGAAAACTCTTTTCCATGGACAGAGATCAGACACACCCAATTTCCTTCATCTGGTCCCCTTTGGACCCCTAATCTAAAATCCTAAAATTTTACTTTTGCACCTTTTTCATGCTAATTATTACTTATATCAAACACTCAGAGCTTGTAATTCATCCTGTAAGATTGAAAACTGGGCTGGGCTGGGCTGGGCTGGGCTGAGCTGGGCTGGGCTGGGCTGGGCTGAGCTGGGCTGGGCTGGGCTGAGCTGGGCTGAGCTGGGCTGAGCTGGGCTGGGCTGGGCTGGGCTGGGCTGGGCTGGGCTGCCCAGGGGCGATGCAGCCACAGGTGGCACCTGTGGCATTGTCACAGCGCCTTCCACCCCCGCAGGGACCACCACGGGCTGTGTGGGGACAGTTGTGGGGACAATTGTGGGGACAGTTGTGGGGACAATTCTGGGGACAATTCTGGGGACAGTCGGGGGCACAATTGTGGGGCAATTGTGGAGACAATTGTGGGCACGATTGTGGGGACAATTGTGGGGACAGTCGTGGGCACAATTGTGGGGACAGTTGTGGGGACAAGTGTGGGGACAATTTTGGGCAGAATTTTGGGGACGATTATCGCATCCCCCGCAGCGCTCCCTCCCCTCCTCCTCTTCCCAAACTTGCGCTGTATCAGCAGCGTCCCGGCAGCCGCTCAGGCTTTTCTCGCTTCCCTTAATCTCCCAAAAATGGATTTGGGGATTGGGAGGGGGGGTGTGTGTCCTCGGGGCACGGCGAGAGGAAAAGAAATAAAGGGAGGGATGAGCGCGGGTGGGGCTGGGAGCAGGCGGGAATGGGAAAAAGGGGGAAAAGAGGGGAGGGAAAGCGAGGAATGGGAAAGGAGAAGAATGGGAAAGGAGAGGAGGGGAAAAGAGAGGAGGGGAAAATATAAGGGGGGAAAAAAACAAGGAATGATTAAAGTGGAGTGGGAAGAGAGAGAAGAGGAAAACAGGAGTGGAAAAACAGGAGAGGGAAAAGAGAGGAGGGGGAAAGAGAGAAGGGAGAAAAAGGAATGGCTAAAGATGAGTAGGAAAAGAGAGGAGGGGGAAAGATAAGGGGGGGAAAATGAATGGTTAAAGAGGAGTGGGAAGAGTGGGAAAAGAGAAGAGTGGGAAGAGAGAGAAGGGGGAAAATAGGAGTGGAAAAAAGGGAGTGGGGAAAGAGAGGAGGGGAAAAGAGAAGGAGGAAAAAAATGAATGGTTAAAGAGGAGTGGAAAAACAGGAGTGGGAAAAGAGAGGAGTGGGAAGAGAGAACGGGGGGGGGGGGAAGAAATGGTTAAAAAGGAGTGGGAAAATGAGAATGGGAAAAGAGAGAAGGGGGAAAAGAGAGGAGGGGGAAAGATAAAGGGGGAAAAAGGAATGGTTAAAGAGGAGTGGGAAGAGTGGGAAAAGAGAGGAGTGGGAAGAGAGAGGAGGGGGAAAGATAAGGGGGGAAATGAATGGTTAAAGAGGAGTGGGAAGAGTGGGAAAAGAGAGGAGTGGGAAGAGAGGAGGGGGAAAATAGGAGTGGAAAAACAGGAGTGGGAAAAGAGAGGAGGGGGAAAGATAAGGGGGGAAAATGAATGGTTAAAGAGGAGTGGGAAGAGAGAGAACGGGGGGAAAAGGAATGGTTAAAGAGGAGTGGGGAAAGGAGAATGGGAAAAGAGAGGAGGGGAAAAGAGGGGTGAGAAAAGAGGAGCGGGGGAACAGAAGAGTGGGGAAACAGAGGCCGGGCTCTGGGACTGAGGATGGGGCAGGGACGCGGCCCTGGCACCGTGTTCCTGCACCCCCTCCACCACCCGACCCTCTCCCACCCCCAATTTAACCCCCAGATTCCTGCTTGGACCGCGGGAGCTCGGCCTGGGGAGCTCTGGAGAGGGTTGGAGCACTCAACGGGAGCTCTGAGCCGTTCCAAACACAGCACGGAGCAGAAACCTCCTCTCCCTCCTCCAGTGCCAACAGGACCCCGATCATTTTATTTACCTTCCTTCCCCCTTCTCCCGGCTAATTATGGAGCTGGACCTGCCTCCCCATTAGAGCCGGGAGTCGCACAGGCCACCAGGAGCTGGGGCTTTATTTTATTTCTGTTTTCCCCTCTGATGGCAGCACTCAGCGCTCCCGGGGCCTCTCGTCCCCTCGAGTGCCATTAACGCTAATTAAGCCTCGCGGAGCCCCTTTCCAGGCAGGGTGAGAGGAGCGCTGGGAAGCGGAGAGGGATCCGGGAGAGGCTGTGGGGCCGGGATCTGTCCAGGAACGGGCAGGAGATGCTGGGGCTGGGTGGGAATCCACCTGCCAGGCACCTAAAAATCGCCACAAACCCCTTTTCCTCCTCCGGGCATTTTTAGAAAACATTCCTGGCTTTATCCAGGGTGGAGAAAAAGCCATTTTTAATTAAGTAAATATTTAATAAAAGCCATTTAAATTGATAATAAATAAAAAACATTTAAAGCCATTTTCTGGCTTTATCCAGCATTTCCCAAGCACAGACTCCCAGCCGGAGCCTGGCCAGTGCCCGACCACCCTCGCGGGGGGTGAAGAACCTTTCCCTGATGCCCAGCTGTTTGTAGATGCAGGGGAACCCAATGGGAAGAAATGGCGATGTCTGATTCAATTCAGAAGGCTGAATTATTTCTTTATTATAACTATGCTAAAATACATTAATATGCTATATAAAAGGAGGATACTAAAACTACATGCTACTTTCTCTGACTCTAACTCCCCCACAACTCGTGACCCTCTCTGAGAGCCCAGCCCCAGGTGGGTTTGGATTGGATTGGATTGGGTTGGGTTGGGTTGGGTTGGGTTGGATTGGATTGGGTTGGGTTGGATTGGATTGGATTGGATTGGATCGGATCGGGTCGGGTTGGGTCGGTCCGGATTGGATTGGATTGGATTGGATTGGATTGGATTGGATCGGGTTGGGTCGGACCGGACCGGATCGGATTGGATTGGATTGGATTGGATTGGATTGGATTGGATTGGATTGGATTGGATTGGATTGGATTGGATTGGATTGGATTGGATTGGGTTGGATTGGGTTGGATTGGGTTGGGTTGGATTGGGTTGGATTCGATTGGATTGGATTGGGTTGGGTTGGGTCGGACCAGATCGGATTGGATCGGACCGGATCGGATCGGGTTGGGTTGGGTTGGGTTGGGTTGGGTTGGGTTGGATTGGATTGGATTGGATTGGATTGGATTGGATTGGATTGGATTGGATTGGATTGGATCAGATCGGATCGGGTCGGGTAGGGTCGGACCGGATCGGATCGGATCGGATCGGGTCGGGTTGGATTGGATTGGATTGGATTGGATTGGATTGGATTGGATTGGATTGGATTGGATTGGGTTGGGTTGGATTGGATTGGGTTGGGTCGGACCGGATCGGATTGGATTGGATTGGATTGGGTTGGATTGGGTTGGATTGGGTTGGGTTGGATTCGATTGGATTGGATTGGGTTGGGTTGGATCGGATCAGATCGGATTGGGTTGGGTTGGGTCGGACCAGATCGGATCGGATCGGATCGGATCGGATTGGGTTGGATTGGGTTGGGTTGGGTTGGATTGGATTGGATTGGATTGGATTGGATTGGATTGGATTGGATTGGATTGGATTGGATTGGATTGGATTGGATCAGATCGGATCGGGTCAGGTTGGGTCGGACCGGATCGGATCGGATCGGATTGGATTGGATTGGATTGGATTGGATTGGGTTGGATTGGGTTGGATTGGCCACCAGCTCAAACAATCCTCACCAGAATCCAACCCAGCACTCACCCCAGGTAAACAATTCTCCAAACACATTCCACATGGGAAAAAAAAGAGCAGAAACAGAAATTGTTTTCTCCTTCATTTCTCTTCTCTCATGCACCTCTATGAAAAATCCTGAGAGGGAGAGAAGCGTGCTGCCACCCAGCTGGACCCGTGGGACTGTGGGGATGGGATGTGCCCCCCTGGCACCGCTCCGTGGCTCCGGTCCCTGTCACACAGAGCTTGGGATGGTGCTGAGGTTCCCCCCCGGTCTCTCCCCTCAGTTCCCACCCTCACACCCCCAAACCGGGGGGCTCTGCCACCATCCCCCGGTGGCTTCTCGCGGCTGACGCTGTCCCCGTGTCCCCAGGCTCGGCGCTCCCGGCCGCCCCGCGGGCTCTGCTATGATCTGTCGGCGCTGGGAGCAGCATGGGCAGCGTCAGCAGCCTCATCTCCGGCCACAGCTTCCACAGCAAGCACTGCCGCGCCTCCCAGTACAAGCTCCGCAAGTCCTCGCACCTCAAAAAGCTCAACCGCTACTCGGACGGGCTGCTCCGCTTCGGCTTCTCGCAGGACTCCGGCCACAAGTCCGGCTCCAAGAGCAGCAAGAATGAGGATTTCTTCTACATCAAGGTCAGCCAGAAGTCGCACGGCTCGCAGCGGCCGGACTACACCGCCCTGGGCGGCGGCGAGCGCGGCGCGCCCGCCGGGACCAGCGCGCTGGACTTCGGGGCGCCCACGCCGCAGAAGCTGATGCCTTTCCCCGGCCAGCTGGAGGTGGTGAGTGGGGAAAAGCGGCTCTGGGAGCGGGGGGATGTCCCAGCAGAGCCCTTCTGTCCGCAGGTGCCACCACGGGTGATGCTTCTATCCCTGTCAGCCCCTAAATGATCAGGCTGGCCCAGAGATGCGAGGCTTTGAGGGGAGGAACATCAGGAGATGGGCAGAGATTCAAAAGAGGCCCTCACCCCGATGTGGTTGTCTTGCTTCTTTATTCCATGAGGTCCGGGGGGAACAGAGGGGGAAAGAGCGCGAACAGGAAGGGTCAGGGGCTTGTCTATGCTCTGGACAGGGCTTCTTGGCTTCCCCCAACCCAGTCAGGGCAGGAAGGAGGGGACCAGGCTTGTCTGATCAGAGGCACAGGGGTCCCGGGAATGGGGAAAGGAGCGCGCTGTAACACGCGGGGTTGTGCTGGGCACGGGCCGTGGAAGCTCAGGGGGAGCAGGGGCAGCCGGGGGGACTCTGCCCCCTCCGCTTCTGGGAGCTCGGACCAAAGGATTTAGATCCTTTAATTTTCGAACCCAGCGGTTTTAGCCAGCAGCTTTCCCCCTTGAGCATCCCCCCCGAGCCCTCGGGGGCTGTCCCACCCCGCGGGGCAGAAGGGGCAGGAGGACACGCGTGGGGCTGGCGCGGTGCTGACGGGCTCTGCTCTCCCTGGCAGGGTGGGGAGAAGCCGCTGCCTCGTCCCACGGCCTTCAAGCCGGTGCTGCCGCGCTCCGGGGCCATCCTGCACTCGTCCCCCGAGAGCGGGGGGCCCCTGGGCCAGCAGCTGCACCCCCCGGAGAAGGGCAAGGAGCAGGAGCTGCGGCCGCTGCCGTGCTCGGGGGGCCTGTCCGACTCCGGCCGCAACTCCATGTCCAGCCTGCCCACGCACAGCACCAGCAGCAGCTACCAGCTGGAGCCCCTGGTCACCCCCATGGGCCCCATCAGCCGCTTCGGGGGCTCTGCCCACAACATCCTGCAGTGCGCCATCATCCAGGACAGCAACATGATGAGCCTCAAGGCCATGTCCTTCTCCGACGGTGGCAACAAGATCCTGAACCCCGGCAAGGCCCCCCAGCACCGCCTCGCCGCCGAGAAAAGCGCCTGCGTGCGCTCGCCCATCGCCACGGATGAATCCACCATCCAGGAGCTGGAGCAGAAGCTGCTGGAGAGGGAGGGAGAGCTGCAGGAGCTGCAGTCGAGCTTCGAGGAGAAGGAAATCAGCTCCTGCCAGGCCTACGAGGAGAAGCAGCGGCGCTGCAAGGAGGAGCTGGAGGGGCTGAAGCAGAAATGCAACAGCAAGCTCAAGCAAACCTCGCAGAAGACGCAGAGGACGCAGCAGGTGCTGCACCTGCAGGTGTTCCAGCTGCAGCAGGAGAAGCAGCAGCTGCGGGAGGAGCTGGAGAAGCTCATGAAGGAGCAGAACCTGCTGGAGACCAAGCTGAGGTCCTACGAGAAGGAGAAGACCAGCTTCGCCCCCGCACTGGAGGAGACGCAGTGGGAGGTGAGGGGCAAAAGGGGGCAGGGGGGACGTGGAGGGGGAGAGCTCCAAACCCGCCCCCCAGCCCTTCCCGTCCCATTCCTGGAGCATCCCAGGCTGTGGGAAATGGGTGGGAAATGCCAGCAGAGCCCCGGGCTGGCCCCAGGGCAGCGGGGTTGAGGCTCTCGCTGCCCCCCTGAACCTTCCCCTTGCCCGAGGGAGCCAGCACAGCACAAACCCCTCAGGGGCTGAAAGAACTCGGCATTCCCGGCCTCCAGCTCGGCTTTTCCTGCCCCACAGCAGCTGTAAAGCTGCCTCGGCACAAGGAAATAGGAATTCCTTGCGCTTGCCTTGGCTTTTGTTAGGGAGATGTAAAACCTTCCACTCTTTACATTTACTCCTCTGCTTTACATTAATTTACTCACTCCTTGGTATTGCCGAGAAAACACCATTAATGTGCTGGAAATTCCGAAGTTTAGTATTGCCCAGCAAACACCATTAATATGCTGGAAATTCTAACATTTAGTAAGAGGTGTATTAATTATAATATTATTATAATTATATACAAATATATATATATAATAATATAAATAAAAAATATAATAATATAAATAAATATATAATAATATATTATTAATTATAATAATAATAAATAATAACATGTACTATTATTTAATGTCATATTAATTATAAATAATAATTGTAATTAAATTATAATTATAAAAAATAGTCGTAAAAAAGTTAAATTCAGGGTCTCCACGTGCTGCACTCCAGCTGTGCCCAGCTCACAGGGGTGCCCTGGGTTTTCCCCGCCCTAACCCAGGTGTTCACCCCCGCCAGGTGTGCCAGAAATCCGGGGAGATCTCGCTGCTGAAGCAGCAGCTGAAGGAGTCGCAGACCGAGCTGACCACCAAGACCACGGAGATCCTGAGCCTGAAGGCGCAGCTGAAGGAGGTGAGGCTGAAGATGGAGGGGCTGGAGATGAAGACGCAGGAGCTGGAGGTGTCGCTGCGCACCAAGGCCATGGAGCTGGAGGTGTGCGAGAACGAGCTGCAGCGCAAGAAGAACGAGTCGGAGCTGCTGCGGGAGAAGGTGAACCTGCTGGAGCAGGAGATCCTGGAGCTGCGCTCCGAGCTGGCCGTGCTCCGCGAGCAGCTCAGCGAGGCCTCGCGGCCGGGCGGGGACGATGCCCAGGCCCTGCAGGGGCAGCTGGAGCGGCTGCGGGCCGAGCTGAAGGCGGAACGCGACAACAACGAGCAGATGAGCTGCAGCTTCCAGCACGAGCGGCAGACGTGGAAGGAGGAGAAGGAGAAGGTGATCCACTACCAGAAGCAGCTGCAGCAGAGCTACCTGCACATGTACAAGAGGAATCAGAGCCTGGAGAAGATGCTGCAGCAGCTGGCGGCGGGCGAGGACGGCAAGGAGCCCATCGAGCTGGAGATCCCCGGCGCCGACGTCCCCTACGAGGACATCATCGCCACCGAGATCTGAGCCGCTGTCCCCGCCCAGCCGAGCTGTGTCCCCCCTTCCCTCCGTCGTGTCCCAGAGGTGACAAAGCCACTCGTGCCCATGGTGACGTGCCCACAGCTCCCCCGCCCCGGCACCGCCCCCGAGGAGGGCAGGGATCAGCACTCCAGGGAATGCTCCGCCATCCGCGCCCAGCGCCCAGGGGTGCTCTGTGCCAGGCTTGGGGAACACGGCCTGGCCCTGCTCTGGGGGTGGCACAGCTCCTGGGATGGCAGAGATCCTGGGATGGCAGAGCTCCTGGGATGGCAGAGTTACAAGGATGGCACAGCTCCTGGGATGGCCCAGCACCGTCCTGCCTGCTGATGGTGGCAGGAATCAGCCCCAATGTGTGCCCAGTTCCTGGGATGGCAGAGCTCCTGGGATGGCACAGCTCCTGGGATGGCCCAGCACCATCCTGCCCGCTGATGGTGGCAGGAATCAGCCCCAATGTGTGCCCAGTTCCTGGGATGGCAGAGCTCCTGGGATGGCAGAGATCCTGGGATGGCCCAGCACCATCCTGCCCGCTGATAGTGGCAGGAATCAGCCCCAATGTGTGCCCAGCTGCCAGGATGGCACAGCTCCGTCCTGCCCGCTGATGGTGGCAGGAATCAGCCCCAGCTCCCTGGAGGAAGCTCCCGCTCCTCCTCACCCCCCGTCGGCGCCGATGCCAGGGCGCCGTGAGAGCACTGAGCCACCTCCGCCACTGCCACATCCACCCTGCCAGCCCCTGAGGGCCTCAGGAAGGTCCCCACCTGCTCACACCCCCCGGTACAGCCCAGCCTCCCAAAATCCCCCTGAAATCACCCCAAAATCCCGTTCAGTCCGAGCACAGCCTCCCTGCACCGCACCCACAGCACGCACAGCCCTCCCAGCACTCCCACGGGCTCCGTCCCTGTTCTGGCTGCCACGCAGCAGCTGCACCCAAGAATTCACAGGAATGTCCCAGCCATGGGCTGACCAAGGAATGGGGTTTGTGCTCACCCCACAGCCCCCTGCACTCACCCCCGGCTGCCTTATCTCCTCCCGCGCCCCGATCCCATGGGATCCGGCCGAGGGGAGCTGGTTAAACACCCCAAACCAACCACTTCCACCTTAATTTCTACCCCAGCTCTTAAAAGTTCCTCCTGCCACCGGCAAGTGGCTCCACAGATGATGAGTGGCACTGCTGGTGACCCTCGTGTCGCCCTGCGTGGGGAGGGAACCACAGGACCCAGTTTGTGGGGTGGGGGCTCCAGCCGAGACCCCTTTGTGCCAGTGCAATTCTATTTTTGCTGCAATTATTTACCCACTGCCCCATTCCAGGGCTCCTGGGGGGTCTTGCACAATCCCAACGCCGCCAATTCGGCCACGGGCTCCGAGCTGTGCAAAATTCCGCGTCCCTCGCGCCACTCCAGCCTGGAAAGTGACACACAGGAACCAGTCTGTGCCTTCTGTGCCCGGCCCTGAGCACCCCAAACCTCTGCCCCATCTCTCCCAGCTGGGCTTGGCACTGCCCAGCCCGTCCTGGCACTGCCCAGCCCGTCCTGGCACTGCCCAGTTGGATCTGGCACTGCCCAGCCGGGTCTGGCACTGCCCAGCCATTCCTGGCACTGCCCAGCCGGGTCTGGCACTGCCCAGTTGGATCTGGCACTGCCCAGCCGGATCTGGCACTGCCAAGCCCATCCTGGCACTGCCCAGCCGGGTCTGGCACAGCCCAGTTGGATCTGGCACTGCCCAGCTGGATCTGGCACTGACCAGCCATTCCTGGCACTGCCCAGCTGGGTCTGGCACTGCCCAGCCATTCCTGGCACTGCTCAGCTGCTCCTGGCACTGCCCAATTGGATCTGGCACTGCCCAGTCAGGTCTGGCACTGCCCAGCTGGGCTTGGTACTGTCCAGGCTGTCCTGGCACTGCCCACCTGGATCTGGCACTGCCCAGCCCATCCTGGTGCTGGCACAAGCGATGCTCACCCCCAACCCGCTGGTAAAGCCAACCTCGGGCTCCTGCGGGTGCCCCCCCGGGCCAGTCAGGGCCAGTCTGCCCATTCCCTGCCCATTCCCTGCCCATTCCCTGCCCAATCCCTGCCCAATCCCTGCCCAATCCCTGCCCGTTCCCTGCCCATTCCCTGCCCAATCCCTGCCCGTTCCCTGCCCGTTCCCTGTCCAGTCCCTGCCCGTTCCCTGCCCGGTCCCTGCCCATTCCCTGCCCGTTCCCTGCCCGTTCCCTTCCCGTTCCCTGCCCGTTCCCTGCCCTTCCCTGCACGTTCCCTGCCCGTTCCCTGCCCATTCCCTGCCCATTCCCTGCCCGTTCCCTGCCCAGCCCCGCCGAAGGATATTTTTGGAAGCTGAAGGATCAGGGCCGAGATTTGGGATTTTGTGCATCCCTCAATGAGCCCGGCAACGCCCCGCTCCCCCTGGCCCTGGTGGCACCGTCCCTGTCCCCACAGTGTCCCCGCGGTGGCACCGTCCCTGTCCCATCCCTGTCCCTGCGGTGGCACCGTCCTTGTCCCTGCGGTGGCACCATCCCTGTCCCCTCAGTGGCACCGTCCCTGTCCCATCCCTGTCCCCTCGGTGGCACCGTCCCTGTCCCTGCAGTGTCCCCTCAGTGGCACCGTCCCTGTCCCTGTGGTGGCACCGTCCTTGTCCCTGCAGTGGCAATGTCCCTGTCCCCATGGTGGCACCGTCCCTGTCCCAGCTGTGTCCCCTCGGTGGCACCATCCCTGTCCCTTCCCTGTCCCCATGGTGGCACCATCCCTGTCCCTGCAGTGGCACCGTCCCTGTCCCATCCCTGTCCCTGCAGTGGCAGTGTCCCTGTCCCATCCCTGTCCCTGCAGTGGCAGTGTCCCTGTCCCTGCGGTGGCACCATCCCTGTCCCATCCCTGTCCCCTCGGTGGCACCGTCCCTGTCCCAGCTGTGTCCCTGCGGTGGCACCGTCCCTGTCCCTTCCCTGTCCCCACGGTGGCACCGTCCCTGTCCCTTCCCTGTCCCCTCGGTGGCACCGTCCCTGTCCCATCCCTGTCCCCATGGTGGCACCGTCCCTGTCCCCATGGTGGCACTGTCCCTGTCCCATCCCTGTCCCTGAAGTGGCACCGTCCCTGTCCCATCCCTGTCCCCTCGGTGGCACCGTCCCTGTCCCCTCCGTGCCCCGCGGGCCCGTGTCCCCAGCTCTGTGACGTGATCAGAGGCCTCGCCGTGCTGCCTTTGCACAACCGCGCTGTGTGTGCCCGTCGCATTCCAGGTGTGTCGCTCCAGGCCCCGGCCTGGACAGAGAATTATTTTTCTGCAGGTTTTCTTTTTTTTTGGATGTTCTTTCTGGTGACTGATGTAAACTACTGGTTAATTTTATGTTTTTATTTATAAATAAATTTTATAAAACTTCCCCAGCCTCTCTCTGCAGGTGCTTGGCGGCGTTCTGGGCATTTTCTGTGCCTGAGCCACCAGAATTAGATTGGATATTAGGAAAAAAAATTTTCACTGAAAGAATAATAAAACACTGGAATTGTCTTCCCATGGAGGTGGTGGAATCACCACCTCTGGATATTTTTTAAAAAAGGCTGTGTCAGAATCTGTAGTATTGATGATTCTGAGATTGCAGAAAGTCTCTGTCTGTCAGCCCCATTGCCAAAGCAGAAGCCATAATTGGTCTGTGCTGTTTCAAGGTGGTTTATTCTGTTTATCTCTAACATGTTCTGCTGCCCTGCCGCAGCTCTGTCCTGCAGGGCAGCGTGTGGGGCTCTGCCCTCAGTGGGATGGTACAAACATTAAATACCACAAACTCCCTGTGCTGGATTTACAATAACGTGCCAATATCTGTCACCTACGTTGGACAGTGTGTCCCCAGCCTGAACCAACAGAAAAATGCCAACACCACAGTGAAACATGGAGGGCATGAAGAAGGAGAGAAAGGACAAGGCACACCCAATTTCCTCCATCTTGTCCCCTCTGAACCCCTAATCTAGAAACCTAAAATTTTACTTTTGCACCCGTGCCACACTTAATTATTACTGATATCAAACACTCAGAGCTGGTAATTGATCCTGTAAGATTGAAAACTCTTTTCCATGGCCAGAGATCACAGCCAGTGTCTCTGGGGGCTCTGTCCAGGGGGTTCCTGACCCCTGCCAGGGTCCCAGGGCAGCCAGAGGGAAGCCCTGGATTCCCACAGACTGGATTTGACACTTGGTTGAGGTGTCAGGGCATGGGTTGGGCTTGATGATCTTAGAGGTCTCTTCCAACCTCATTATTCTGTGATTCTGCGTGATTTATCTCAGCCCAGCAGGGTCCCCTCTGGGGACATCCTGCACCTGGCCCTGCTTTTTCCAGCCCGGAGTTATCTCTGCTCTGCAGCTGGGCCAACCCGAGCACGGAGCAGCAGGGATTGGGCTCGGGGAGCTCAGGCAGGGTGGGATAATCTGGTTTTCACCCTGGGCCCATCCCCAGCATCCCTGAGCAGGCAGCTCTGGATCCTGGGGAGATCCAGGAAAACAATTCCCGAGGGAGAGGCGAAGCGTGGCTGCTGGAACAAACCCGAGGTTCTATTTTGACTATTTCAGTTGTTTTGCTCCAAACTGAATCAACTCCACAAAAAAAACCCAAAAACAAACAGTGTGGGGAAGGCAAACGGGAAGGTTGGGGAGTAGAAAATGGGGGAAAGTCTCCAATTTCAGGAAATTCTGCTCATTCTGCCCCATCTGGCTGCACCCACATGGCAGGGGCAGGATCTGGGCACCCCAAAAAGGCACCTGGCACCTGCTGCAGCTCCCCAGGGAAATTTGGCTGCGCTCCCGCTGCCCCAGGAGCGAGGGAAATAGATTTTTAGAGTTTATTTATTTTTTAGTTTATTTTGGAACTGTTGGGGAGGGAAGGGACAGGAAATCCCTGTGAGGGCTCTGTGCCCTGAGGGTCCCTCCTGTCACAGCCCGGCCAGGGGTGCAGCCCAGCCCTTCCCAGCCCTTCCGAGAGCTCAAGGATGTGAATTATTCCTGGGAGATCCCCAGGGTGTGAGCTGCTCCTGTCCTGGGACAGCCCCAGGATGCGAATTATTCCTGGGACAGCCCCAGGATGTGAATTATTCCTGTCCTGGGAGAGCTCCAGGATGTGAACTCCTCGGAGAGCTCCAAGGTGTGAATTATTCCTGTCCTGGGAGAGCCCCAGGATGTGAGCTGCTCCTGTCCTGGGACAGCCCCAGGGGTGAGCTGCTCCCGGGAGAGCCCCAGCACGGCTGGGACCCTCCTCCTGCAGGAGGCAGAGCAGAAAGGAGCAGCAAGGCCGGATGATCCCAGGGGAAAATCACTCTCTGGTGGCAGGCAGAGCTCCCTCAGGGCCAGCCTCAGCAGGACCAGGGTTTTTTGGGAGAAAAGGGAGGAGGAGCCCAGCCGGAGCACCCCCGGCCCGGGGGTCCCTGCTCGGCTCCAGCCCCGCCGCAGCTGCCGCGGGAGCTGCGCGATCGTTGGGCTAATGAGCGCATGCAAATCAGCCCCGGACGGAGAAAAGCTCATTTGCATCTCATTTAAACGCCCCGGTGGCACCGCACGCGTGTCTGGCTGTGTGCGGGGCAGAGCCAGCCCTAAACCCAAAACCGAACCCGAACCCAATCCCAGACCCGAGCCCAAATCCCAACCCAGTCCCAATCCCAATCCCAATCCCAATCCCAATCCCCCCAAATCCGAACCCAATCCCAATCCAAATCCCCCCCGAACCCGAACCCAATCCCAAACCCGAACCCAAATCCAAGCTCAGTCCCAATCCAAATCCCCCCAAACCCGAACCCAATCCCAATCCAAATCCCCCCAAACCCGAACCCAAACCCAGTTCCTACCCCAAACCCGAACCCAATTCCAATCCCCCTAAACCTGAACCCAAACCCAGTTCCTACCCCAAACCCGAACCCAATCCCAATCCCCCCAAACCCGAACCCAATCCCAATCCAAATCCCCCCAAACCCGAACCCAAACCCAGTTCCTAACCGAAACCCGAACCCAATCCCAATCCCCCCAAACCCAAATCCAAATCCAAGCCCAGTCCCAATCCCAATCCTCCCAAACCCGAACCCGAACCCAGTTCCTACCCCAAACCTGAACCCAATCCCAATCCAAATCCGAACCCAAACCCAGTTCCTATCCCAAACCCGAACCCAATCCCAATCCCCCCAAACCCGAACCCAAACCCAGTTCCTACCCCAAACCCGAACCCAATCCCAATCCCCCTAAACCTGAACCCAATTCCAAACCAAATCCCCCAAAACCCGGACCCAAACCCAGTTCCTATCCCAAACCGGAACCCAATCCCAATCCCCCTAAACCTGAACCCAATCCCAATCTAAATCCCCCCGAACCCAAACCCAGTTCCTACCCCAAACCCGAACCCAATCCCAATCCCCCCAAACCCGAACCCAAACCCAGTTCCTACCCCAAACCCGAATCCTATCCAAATCCCCCCAAACCCAGTTCCTATCCCAAACCCAATCCCAATCCCAGACCCAAATCCCAAACCCAACCCCTCTTCCGCGGCTGGGACGGGGAATCGGACGGAGCCACTCGCGCTCGCGGGGCCGCGTTTGGTGAGCAAAAAGCCCAAAGCCGCTTTTGATGTGCAAATGAGCCCGGGGCGCTCTGGCCACCAGCCCGGTGCTGGCCCTGCCTCGCAGCTGCCACCGGCGCGGAGCCCCGGGGCAGGAGGGACCGTCCCCGACCGTCCCCTCCCCTCGCAGCGAGGGGACAGCTGGCGTGTGCCCGCGGCAGGCACCGGCTGCCAGCCCCCGGGCGGTGCTCGTTACTCATTATGGGATCAAAAATCTGAATTTAAAAAGCAGCCGGCCTGGAAGCGCCCGGCAGCGGCAGCTGGGAGAGCAGCGCGGCCCTTTGAGCCGGTACCCGCTGTCCCCTGTCCCCGGCCGTGCCAGGAGCTGTCGCAGCGCCGCAGGGACAGACGGACAGACGGACAGCCACAACGCCTTTGTAGGCGGGGGGGGGGCGGGAAAGCTGTGCTGAGCCCCGGGGCTGCGGGGAGGGGAACCATGGCTGGGTGTGCCCATTCCTGGTTTGGTTTGCCCATTCCTGGTTTGGATTTGCCCATTCCTGGTTTGGGTTTGCCCATTCCCGGGTTTGGTGTGCCCATTCCCGGGTTTGGTGTGCCCATTCCCGGGTTTGGTTTGCCCATTCCCGGGTTTGGTTTGGCCATTCCTGGGTTTGGTTTGCCCATTCCCAGGTTTGGTGTGCCCATTCCTGGTTTGGGTTTGCCCATTCCTGGTTTGGATTTGCCCATTCCCGGGTTTGGTTTGCCCATTCCCGGGTTTGGTGTGCCCATTCCTGGGCTTGGTTTGCCCATTCCCGGGTTTGGTGTGCCCATTCCCGGTTTGGGTTTGCCCATTCCCAGGTTTGGTGTGCCCATTCCCGGGTTTGGTGTGCCCATTCCCGGGTTTGGTGTGCCCATTCCCGGGTTTGGTTTGCCCATTCCTGGGTTTGGTTTGCCCATTCCCGGGTTTGGTGTGCCCATTCCTGGGCTTGGGTTTGCCCATTCCCGGGTTTGGTGTGCCCATTCCTGAGTTTGGTTTGCCCATTCCCGGGTTTGCTTTGACCATTCCTGGTTTGGGTTTGCCCATTCCCGGTTTGGGTTTGCCCATTCCCAGGTTTGGTTTGCCCATTCCTGGGCTTGGGTTTGCCTATTCCCGGGTTTGGTGTGCCCATTCCCGGGTTTGGTGTGCCCATTCCCGGGTTTGGTTTGCCCATTCCCGGGTTTGGTTGCCCATTCCTGGTTTG